TTGGGACATTACGTTTCAGGTTACTGGGCGTGGATGGACCCAGGAGCTTTTGCTCTCATCGGAGCAGCGTCATTTTTTGGCGGTGTATCAAGACTGACCATGTCATTAACAGTGATTATGGTAAGTGGGTGATACTAGTAGCAGGAAATCTTTTTAGCAATCAGTACTGGACATCAGAGCTACTGAGTGAAGTGTGGCCTGTAATTTTTTTAGGGGTGTTGGTATAGGAATCAACCTGGTTATCGGTTTAAGTGACAGATCTCTCACGGTTTTGAGTTTCGGAAAATATTTCATATCTATTGTAGTCTTCTGTAATTTGTGTGTTACTTGTCTATTCCCTACTTGTCCCTCTTTCCCAGATGGAGATCACAAATGACATTCAGTTTTTGTTACCGATCATGGTCGCCATCATGGTAGCTAAGTGGGTAGGAGACTTTGCTACTCATCCGTTGTACCATGCTCTGTTGGAGTTGAAGTGCATTCCCTTTCTCGACTCTGAGCCTGTAATTCTTCACGAGGGATCCAAAGCGTAAGTGGCAAATATTTAAACGCAATTTTCAGTTGAGTCAAAGTAATTCCGAATTGCATTGGTCTTGCAATAACACAGGGCGCCTTCCATTCAACAAAATTTTCGAGATTTCCGGTCCGAAATCGAATGGAACGGAAAAGTTCCGGATAAGTTTTCGAAAATTTAGGAATATGGGGCGCTTTCCATTCGACCAAAAATTACGAAAATTCCGGTCCGAAATTGAATGGAACGTTAAAACTTCTGGGAAAATTTTTCGAAAATTTAGGAATACGTTTTGAGTGCACCCTCTTTAATGGAATTTCCCGAATTATCGAAAAGGACGCGTTCCATTCGGCCGGCTAAAGTTCCGAGATTTTGAACCGGTGATTTTTGTTGAATGGAAAGCGCCCACGATCTGCAATCGGTCCAGAAAACTCGTTCCACTACTTCAACCAATCGGATGGAAGATACGATTTGGTCACCTGCACTTTCCCGCGCTTTGGCAAAGCGTGGGAAAGCGCCGGGACAGCGGCAAAGCGCGCGAAAGGTGCAAAGTTTGGGCGTCAAATGCGGACGAAAGCGAGTGGCCAAAGCGAGATTGGTTTTAAGTCTGTGTGCGAGTTTTCTAGACCAAACACACAGTGTATTGGAGCAACGCCAGCACAATCCTAGATTGTACACAATCTTTTTCAGTTATGAAATTCACTCTATCAATATTTTCTTCTTGTTTTTAGGATAAACTTAGAGTTGTTTCGAGCTGGCGATGCCATGTTCTCTCCTGCAATAGTAAGTAGACTTATATCTACCGTTTAGAATGTTGCAAGTGACGAAGTGATCTTCACAGGTTAACTGCAGTCAATGTTGTGACAGAAACTACAGTGTGAAAAAAATAAATAGGCTTTGACGGGGTTCGAACCGGCGCTTCTCAGACACCTTTTGGGTGGTGCTACAGCGAACTGAACAACGAAGACCGGCCAATGTTGGAAGCGAGGCAAATTGATCGCGCTTTTCCTTCCCCGTAAAGGAATTTGATCGTAAATAATCAATATGAAATCATGTTTTTTTGTTTTCTGACTTCTTTTTCTGCAATGCTCTAGATTGTCCGCCATTCACTCTGCCATTACATCCATTAGTCGAAAATATGATTCATTTCATATACCATACATAAGTATAAAATTTTTTAAATTCGTACGCGAAATAGAAAAGTAGTTTTGCCAGATTTACTGGGGTAGAATGCAGCTTACTTGTTTGTCAGATTCTAAATCCAAGGACCTTTGATTGACAAAATATTAGTGGCACTTATCATCTTGAACCAAAGGGGACGGTCCTTTGTAATGTTGACGTCTGTATTCTCTCGTGTATGTAAGGTTGTACACAAAGTGGAATCCGTGTCTCGCCTCACCCATTTGTTGTTAGACACACCTCATGGTGGGTATCCTGTGGTCACCAAGACAGACGCAGACCATGAGGTGTTCTCTGGACTGATATCCAGGTAAATATCATCGGGTCATTTTTACTAAAACCTTTCATATCTCAGATCAAAGTAAGATAGTTCCCCTTCCTATTTTGAGACCTGCGAGAAATGCGACCACGAAAAACTTCTTTCCAGCCATTTTCCAGGCCCCCCTACTGAGGGTGAAACAAAACTTACCTAATTCAAGACCTAAACAGTTGAAATGTTTGACTAGGCTATGACGAAGAGGGGTCGACAAACTATGTTTTTGTTACCACATATACACATATGGGATATCGTGGAAGTGTTCCCTTTAACGGTGAGAAAGAGCAGTAAGGCTCCTGTGTACCGAGAAAATACAAGTGATTTGTAGGACGTCTCATGGTATACCACTCGAAAGCGTTGGATAGCTACCGTAAAGACTTCGTGTAGACCCTCTTTCCCAGCGAAATACGATTGAAGAGTTGATAAAAAATCGGTGAAAATTTATCCCGGCGTCGCGCAGCCATTGGATGAGAGATATGACGTGGACAGGGAACGAGGGAAGAACAACTAGTCTTTTGTATGATGCGTGTGCTACGAACAAGTCTACAGAACTTTCTATTTAACAATTATTCGCCGAAGGCGAGATGAATATCGTCGAATAATCCCCAAGACGAAGTCGAGGGAATTATTCGACAATATTCACCGAACCTGAGGCGAATAATTGTTTTAGTAGAATTTCAGAGCTGGCTGAACAACAGAGAAATGTCTAAAATCATAATACTTTAGTAACATTTATTAATATTTTATTATAACATTTTATATAAACCGCATGGAGCGGTTTATAAAGCGTCATATAAGGAACCGCTCGACCAATCAGATTGCTGGAAACTCTTTGCTCAGCTCTGAAATTATACTAATTGATAATTATGGAACATTTTTGCTTTACTGAGAAGACTTTCACGATTTCATTTTTGAACTGCATAACGTTAGTTACCTCTCTCCAGAAGTTCCTTACAGTGAAGTAAAATTAATGCAAAAGAAGAGGCTGTACTGATTGTACATTGTAGGACATTTTTAAGTTTGGCACACATATTTCTGAAAAACAAAATTCTCTGCCATCAGACTTTTTCCTTCTCGATTTGGGGACTAGCCATTGCTTATCGCTGGGGGAGGGGTCGGAGGAGTTTTGGGGAATCACATAGTTTTTAGGGGGGAAGGGAGGGGCTCACTCGTCGCTAACAGAGTGTAAAAGGGGGGGGGAAACTATAGAAAAACTGACAGTGAGGGAGGGTCATTATTATACTACAGAGCCTTAGGAGCTAAGGGAGAACAGGTAAATGTTACTGTGACGACCGATCCCGTGGTGCTAAAGCTTTGGACAAAAAAGATTTGACGAGAAGAGATCGGGACGAGACGGGGCGTGTGTTGACCTTTGACGCGTTAGCACTCCTCACCTTCGCAATCACACAATCAGCGCAGACCACCCTGGAGCAATGACAGATGTATATCTGATTTATCCACACCTCTAGAAGGACAGATGCTTCCTCTGTACTTCTGGTACAGAGTCTGGTTGAGATGATCCAGGGTGTAGAATTCTTGCTTCACTTTCCCTCGACGCGTTTTTTAAAATAGGTCCGTAAGAGAGAGACATAGAACGGATTAAATTTGCTTCGCTCTCAAGATAAGGCCTAGTAACTCACTACCCTGGGAGGGACGGGTTTGACCTCTGTCGAAGCCTGAATTTTTTTTTAGACTTCTTCTCTGCAATATCTTTATTTAAAACTCACCTTCGAGGATCATATTACAACGGCTACTTCTTTATCATTCGCGGAGCAAAATGTATTTATTTCATTAAATTGTGACAGAGAAAACCTACATCCAAATCTGACTACTCAGCTCATCTTTTGTTCAATCACGCAATGTTTGACCCTCACGCTGTGAGCTTTTAATTTAGGAAACCTGTGGTGATAAGTGATGGCTAAGAGATTTGTGACAAAGCTCCATCGAGTTAAAAAAATCCGGTAACGTGCAAAAGTCTAGAGGCACGAACAAACCAAGTGTAAGGAAATTACATAAATAGCAATACTTGAAATCAAGTTTGCTGCCCTCTGAACGTCAATATGCTGATTGTGGGATCCTTTTAAGATCAAATATTGGAAGCCGCTTTTTTTACTGACCTTGAAAAACGATTCATACTCATCTATGTTTTTCGACTGCATACTTAGCAAACTAAACCGTTATTGGAATGATGCAGTGGTCACACTTTGGCGTGTATTTCACCATTAATCTTAAAAATAATTCAACGACATTTTGTATGCCTAGACCAGGGGAACTATTGCTGGGACCAGCGCAACTATAAAACAATTACCGAACACATGTTGTAACGTATCATCTCATTTGTATGCCGTGTGTAACAATTTATACTGATATGTTGCAAGTGGGGTCGCGCTTTTGACCCACTGTCTATTGTTTCTGCATGGTCTGTGTATTATTTTTACTCTGTGTGCGGTTTAGATTTTATGCTGTGCTTCGCGTCGCGACGATTGTACCATCTTCATTTAATGTTGGTTCCTATGGAGACATACCGTGGTCTTGTCCGAGTTTTTAAATTGTAAACCACGCACACTTTAAGACTTTGGATTGCCTGGCATAATGTTTATCAAGTGATTGCAAGTTCAAGCCCACGCGTGCGGAGACAGCTGACCGTAATCCGTCCCTATCACCGCTGGTTTTGCTGTACTTTGCGCTCGGAACGATCTCAAGGAGATCTGTAGAAAGAAAAAAAGCAATAATTATCGCCTTATGTGAAAGTTGGAGAGAATTTGAAGGAGTGCATCGATTGCGTGCGAAATAATTTAAATTGCAATAATTGACTCTGCCGCGAAGGGTTCCTTTGACGTCTAGACAGCGAAGAAGAAGAAAAGAAAACCAATTTGTTTTAATCGTTTGAGAAAACTTGGCTTAAGGCATGTTCCAAACGACAGCGACGACAAAAACTGATAGAAGCTGTTTTAAAACGAAGAAAAAAATAATTTTCCTGTTAATATCCGGTGTGTTGTTAATCGTCCTTGGCACCGTGTGTCTCTGCAAGGCTGTTGCGTGGATACATTCCATTATTGACTCGAAGCTTGTTATTAAACCGAGCTCCCCTATTTACCCGCAATGGAGGTCACCAACTGTCCCGGTTCTGATGCAGTTCTTTGTGTTCAATGTGGAGAATCCGATGGAAATGAAGCAGGGAAGCCGTCCTTGTGTCAGTCAGAAAGGACCATATAGTTACAGAGTATACCAGACCAAGGAAAACATTACATGGAATAGCAATAGTACTGTATCCTATAACAAATTTACCAAGTATGTATTCGATGTCGATAGCTCCTGTTCTTCATGTGATCCTCGCACTGATAATGTCACGCTCCCAAACATACCGCTTGTTATTCTTTCCCAAGTTTCCAAAAAGTACCCCGGTGCATCTTTGATATTCAGCATGATTTTCGCTCATTTCAAGGAAGACTTCTTCAGGGTAAACACAGTGGAAGAGTTACTCTGGGGTTACAAAGATCCTGTGTTTGAGTATTTTGCTGACCTTAAGCGCAAATATCATTTGTCTTTCATTCCTGATATTGATCCGAAATTCCGAATGATGGAGAATAATACTTACGATGGTGTCACAACCACTTACACTGGAGCGTCAGATATCAGCCGTGCTGCAGTTTGGACTCAATGGAAGGGGAGATCTGATGTAGGTTTGTGGAACTCTCCTTGGGCAAACATGCTGAATGGAAGCGATGGCATGCAATTTCCTCCTCAGACCAGTACAGAAGACATTCTCTATGCGTTTTACGTACAACTCTGCAGGTCCATGAGCTTTGTTTTCGATTCTCACACAAAAATACACAGTGTGAACACATTAAGGTTTACGTACCCGGAGGAACTGTGGCAGAACGCAAGCGTGAACCCGGCCAACACAGGCTTCTGTCCCAACGGATGTTTCCCAAGTGGCATTCTCGATGCAAGTGTTTGCAAAGGCCCCTCTGCCAGTTCCGTTCCAGCCATTGTGGCGTCTCATCCGCATTTCTATCAAGGTGATCCCTCTCTTGTCAATAATGTAGAAGGCCTGAACCCAGTCAAAGAAGAACATGGCACTGTCTTTGACATTGAACCAAATTTTGGCCTTCATCTTCACCTGAGTTTGCGGCTTCAACTCAACTTGAATATTGAACATGTGAAATTCCTGGTGCAAATGGCCGGTGTCAAGGAGGTGATCTTACCCATAATGTATTTTAATAACACTGTGACAGTGGATGCGTCGTCTGCGCACAAAATGAAGAGTGTCCTGATTGCCATGAAAGCTGTCCCTTTCGTCTCTGTAACGTTGATTTGCATTGGAACTATCGAAGTTTTGGTGGCCATTTGTTGCATTTTATCTAACAAATGGAAAGGTTATAAACATGTAATTCGTGGATTATCAAGCGTAAACAGCGAAACAGAGCCACTTGTTACTTCAAGTAAATAAACTGCAATAGATGACACCGAATGATTTCGTTACTAATTTTCACTTATCTCTGTGAGAACTGACAATCGCGTGTTTTTAAACTTTTCTTATTGCCTTTAAGGGGGGGGAGGGGGGCGTGCATGGGGAGAGAATCTCCCTCACGGCCTACCCTAGTCCCCTTCCAACTTGCACTTTCGACTTTTTCCATCTGCTCTTAGTTGTGAGACACTCGGAGATTAAATTACTACCAAATGTTGGTTTTGATGCATTTCCTTTCCGCTTGTCAGTTGTTGTTTCCATACCCTCCCCCTCTAAAATTTCCTGTAACATTCTTGTTCACACTCCAGCTCCTTGTATTTGTTAAATGTTACTTTAAGGGGGGTGGGGGTGATGACCAACACATCCAATTGACTGGCTGACTGCCTGATTTATCGATCGTCTGCGTGACCGATAGGTTGCTAGTCTCTTTCGTAACCTTCCGAAGGAATGTCACACAGCGGTTTCCTGAAAAGCCGTTGCGTCATATCCCAAAGAACGGTTGTGATGGAGACTAATAAATTGTTCTTTCACCACAAAAAATGGCTTGGTTATCCAGTAGGTGGAATAAATCTTTGACGGATTCATAAGTTTGACTCATTACCGATCGTAAAGCGTATGAAATGACAGCGTGAAAGCTAGAAAGCGAGCCTAGAGTGTGCAACTTAACTCTCCACTCGTCAAATATTATTCACAATCGTCATTCGTTTTGTGTGTCATAAAATGGGCGGCTTGTGTGCAGTGAAAGCGTGAAAAATTTGTTAAAGCTACTGACAGTGGTTCTAAATACATCCCAAGGGTCTTATAAACTCTCTTTTACACAAATAACCATGAATATTAAAATAAATAAGTATTGTAACATTGTAATATAAAGTAAACCTCTTACGTCACGATTAATTAGTTGCTGTTTTGTCTCTCAACGGCGAAGACAAGCAACCCCATCAACAACACGAAGAGCAAAAGCACTTTGATAACGCCTTGGATGAAGTGCTGATCTTATAACGATGTTCCTTTGCCCAGAGAGTGATTGGCATGTAACTTCTGTTGGCACTGTCCACAAAGTTTAAATCGTGGGATTGAAAGAGTGAACCGGCGATAGCCTATAAACCCAGTCTACAAGCAGTTCCTTCCTTTTCGGCGAAATCCGCCGCGCGAGTCGAAAAAAAATTCTATGAAAAATATTGACGCTAGCGCGCCGCGGGAACCTCTGTTTTTGATTAACGCACCGCGAGAGCTTCAGGAGTCGGGCGTCGCTAACGCTGATTTTTTTTTTTTTTTTTAAGAAATTTTTTTTATGAACGCGGCAGATTTCGACGAAAAAGAGTGACTGCTCGTAGTCTATATAAACCCCCGCAGCGAAGTCTACACGGGATCTTGGAGCTCTTTGGCACGAAGGTAGCTTTTTACTGCAGGGCATTTTGCATTTGTGGCAAATTGAGTTAAAAAAATTTTATTGTCTTTCAGGAACGAAATCGTGGTACTTTTGTCTCGAGAAGACATCTTTTCCTCCCGCGAAAATTTATCACTTCCAGAAGAAGAGCTTCACACGAACAGGTTGGATTACTGCCAGGTAAACTTTCAAAAATGCAGATAAAACACATCAGTACCAGTTGTACGGCGATAAAATAAGTTAACTACACTGTGTCCCCTACAACGAGTCAAATTGATTTCGTGTTCGGGTGCTTTTCCACCGAGCCACAGACAAATTAATTACGAGTTGGGCCATAAGCTACATGCACATATAATAAGCGTTCTGCATGCTGCCAGGATCAGCAATGGTGAGAGATTTTTTAGCTTCGTAGTCGAATACAGTAGCGCACTGGAGCAGAATCCAAAGGTCAGGGGTTCGATTCCTCGCGGTGGAGGGGGGAGGGGGTGGGTGGGGGAATGACTAATTTTTTTCGTTGTCTGAAATTTGCGATCAAACGAGTGACACTTTTTTTCGTTAATCGTTTATTAACTGATAAGAACTATCAAATATACATGTCACAACTCTGTAAGATAAGTTTGTACACATCTAACTTTCTTTCTAACGTAGTGTTTCCAATGAATTTCTTTTCGCCATGCCTTTGTAGATGCACCAAGGATATTACCCTGATGCTGAAAGACTAAATGCCCAGTTGGAGCGTTACGCCGGAGAGTCGCGTTTCCAAGAAATGTACATTGATCTGGTACGTAACTCCTTTAACTGGGTTATCAACCATTCAGATTTATGAAGGACATTTTGACGTGTGTTCTTACTCCTAGCTATAGTAAGATGTCGCGTGATTACCTAACGAATTTCGTCACTTTCACCAGGGCTTCTTTTCATTCCCTCGTAAGTTAACGTTTTCGAAAGACGAAAGGCATTTGACGGGTTTTTCCTGCTCTTAGCTTTTAATCTCAATCACAGTGTCTTCCTCAATTTAGGAGTGTCAGTGGGTACTGGCAAATTGTTGAGTCTTGGTTTTGGGTTTTACACCAGATGGAGATTGCATACAGCCAAGGGAAAGCTTCAATAGACTCAGAGGCTTCATGCTATGAATACCGAGATAACCTCTAGCCGTAATGGGCGATCGTTTCGTAATTACGACTAACCTGACTCTGACCGTGTTACTTTCTGTTTTTATTAATTACAGTCTCCGTATGTGAACCACTCGGCCCCCACTGTTCAGGAGACGTTCTCTCTTCACCGAACGTACATTATATTCCGAACTTTAGGGCTGAGGTATGTGGTCATCTAGAGCTGAAATATTTCAACAAAGATGACGAGTTCATTCATTACTCCACCGCTTGGAAACTCTGGAGTCAATGAGCTCCCTCCTCCTCTCCCCATCCCTCCTGATAAATTAGAGAGCACTAACCATATTTCAGGTTGAAAAACTACCTTGGATTAATTGTGTATGAATTCCCTCCAAGTTCATATTCTCATATTTTTTAACAGGCATTTGACGGTTGTGGATAAAAGGAATAGGTTTGTCATAAACTATAAAACTAATTGCTTTTCATTTTAGCAGTATGACTATCATCAACAAAACCATTTTTTTTAACATTTTGTTAAATCAGATGTAGAGATTTTTCTGTCAGTTTTTTTTTAATGTCAAATGAATTTCGTCTAGCGTTCCGCGTTAAACAAGGTACCGCAATTTTATTACATGTTGGCTTTTTCTTTATTTTTGAGTTGTTTTCCCTTTATCTCTGTTTTTCCAGCACACAAATTGGTTCCAACACGTCCTTTCAATACATTTTCCCTAAGACACATCTCCGCCTCCTATGCATCGTAATAAAAAAACATTGAACTGTAAGAGTTCGTTACTTTCATTCTCTTTCGATCTTTTCCATCGTCGGTCCTCTTTGTTTCTCTATGGCTCCATTATGGTGCCTCCGCCTTGAAGTTTATCTAAGTTTTTGTAATTGGTTATCTTGTCCTAGGGTGCGGGGAATAATTACACGTAAAGACCTTATGGGATTCCAAATGGAGGAACGAATTCACAAGTGTCTTCACAACTCACACGAGGCCCAAGAAATGCAGTCAACGAGCTCGTCATCAGGGCACCGGCCTAGCGTGGAGGCCTAAGGTGAATTCCGTTTGATTTCTGGTAAACCGATATGACATTTCGCGTTTGGTAAAGTTTGCATTGACCTACACAAGAAGTACTCAGCTAGCTTTACTTTGCTCGGTAATTGGTCCTAGAACTGGCGCCCCCTTAAAAAAAAAATGGATCGTGACTTGATCACTTGCGTTTTACTTGCGCCCCAGGCAGTTGTCTCGTTTTCGCCCAGATTTTTTTAGCGGCAACGTGTGATATTTTTATTTGTGTCTGATTGGTTGTTGCTATTATTTCGTTTTCGGTTTTGCCTCACAGTCAATCGACAAGCATTCTAATGATACAAGTATATTCTCCTTGGAAGTTTTTCACTGCGATAACTCTGTGAAGGAAAGTTAAGCTAATCAAATTTGGAAACCTGTTCTTGAGGAATATTAATGACACTGTTTTCTCAGAGGAACCTCGCATCTATCATCGGCCTGGTTTCCATTGGATCGCTTGATGAATGCAACAGTGGACTTTTTTTTTTTTCCAAAGATCCTGAGCCTTCGCGCAAATTAGCCTGGTAAATAAGAGAGGAGATAGAGTAAGCTGAAGCTACATTTACTTAGGGGCCGGCCATTTAACTTTTGAGGGGGATGGGGGTGGGTGATTTCTGGTCATCAAGAAGTTTTTTTTCTAGCAATCTGCTGTGCAGGATATTTTTTCCGTTCTAAATKCCCTTTTTCTTCTGTTACATTTGGGCTGCATGCAATTTTTTTTCTTCCAACAACCGCTTGCAGGAAATTTTTTTTCAAAATCACCCACCCCACCCTTCGAGAGTTAAATGGTCGGCCCCTTAAGCAGTTTGTTTTTCCAATGACACAGTTCACACGCCCGTAAGTGATCAATATATCGTCTTCTCTGATTGGTTTAACGAAAAGAGGACCGCATTGTTCTTGTGCTTTTTCCTTTCGAAGGTACCATCTGCTCTTTAGTCGTAAGGTGGTTCAACTTGTGGACGAAGCTTGAAATAGCTTTAGTCAACAATTTAAACAAATAGATTAAATTTGAGATAGAATATTTTGATTTTCTTTATTCTTAAGTCTGAAATTTTTACAATCATATTTTTGTACAAATCATGAAAAATTGCCAGGACAAAAGTATCTTTTGGAGACTGACTGGAAAAGTTTATAATATCATCATGTATTCAACTTCATGGCTCGACCATAGCTAGAAAATTTTTAGTAATAGATTAATTGACACTCGAGAAATGAAAAGTAGAAGGAAAAGAGGATTATAAAAGGAGCTAATTTTTAATAATTTTTTTCAGATTGAACAGAATCAATCATTTTTAATGTATTCATCGGTTGTATATTTAGATCAAGCAAGAACAAAAATTTATGTAGCTTCAACGTTCATACCAGAAAAAATATCTGGAATTATTATAGATAAAGCAAATAGATTAATAGAAATATTTAGGGAGCAGTTGCTTACTGTATGATGTTCAGAATTTTGATTGCATAATTACGATGCAAAATATGTTTGAAAGCTTTTGGAAAATCGTCGTCGGAGCTCTCGGTGATGCTCCGGAGATTCTGATGTGATAAACAATCTCTGGTGAATGCTGCAGACTTGTATGGTTCCTTCTCAAATGTTTGGTCCATGGTGACAGCTGTGAACGTTACTCTGTATTCAGCTCTCCCCTCCCCCCCCCATGACTGTCTTGTATTTTACTTTCGAATGATGCATAAGGACCTCAGTCTAAAACCAGCGTGTGAGAATGTTAGCAATTACTTTGGAAGCGACAATGCACAGTGGAGAGAGTGATAGTGTATGGCTGCCCCACAAGTTGTCGGTTTTCAGGGATATTTCATGGTCAGGGGTTTTCATTTGCGGGGAATTTAAGACGATAACGCAGTTTTGTTCGTAATTTAGGAGTATTTAATTCTATAAAGTGTCACAACCTATTCTTAACGAACATAAATTCTATCTTTTACTCCTTAATTTCGAAAAAAATGGGATCTTTTACTCTCGTAATTTGTACACATAGTAGGTTCCTTTCTCCCCTACTCCATTCCAACATTTTTCCGATGGTCCGTACTTATTGTACGTGTTTTCAGCGTCCAGTCCACTCCAACATTCTCCGTAAAACTGTATTCCAAATATGGCAAGACCACGCCCCTTGGCGATCTCTGCACATGCTAGAACGACTTTCGTCATGTCATTCCAATCGATATTATTTCGAAAGCTTTTTAGGAGCAACGGGAGGGCGTGGGGAGTACTATCTCTATAACAACCAAGTGAATTGTACTCAACTGAAAAGGAAATTGTACCAAATCAATAAGTTAACTGATGTGAAATTCGTATGTTAATAAGCTCCATAGCCTCTTTTAAATAAATCTTCAATTCGCAAACCTGGACATTCGTGAGTGCCGCATTCTTTTGTTTCAAGATTCGGCCCTGGGCACACGCTGTCACAAGTGGAAGAGTTAATCGGTAGCAAGCCAACACACACACGCATGCGCTTTTGAACACCAGAACCACCACATGTCTTACTACATTGGTCCCAGTCTCCCCATCCGCTCCATCCTAAGTATGCTGAAAAAATTAAAAAGAGCGATTTTGATAAATAATGATAATAATGAACAGCGTAGAATCTCATATGTCCTCTAGTAAACTGAGATGGGTATCAAAATGGAAACTTATTGCACCTCATAAAGTCAAAGGTGGAAGATGGGTTGTCAGCCTCGTTCCCAGGGCTTTTCCCTTTTTGAATATTTTGGCGGGCGTAAAAAGGTTGATGGGTTGTCTTAGTAAACAGACTCTACTATGATGACCTCCGGTCAGGGCTGTCCAAACGTCAGTCGTTGCTACCAGCAACAATCTTTTCCGGAACTACTCTCACAAGGACAATCAGACCACACGAGCAATTTTCACTCCTGACCCGGATTCAAACCATTTTTGTATTATTTGTTGCATACAGTTAGCACGAAACGGTGAAGCTAGATTCATTTCTCAAGACCGTGGATTGTTTACAAAAAAGTGTGACAGTATCTTGAGAAGCAGATGTGTGTTTTGAATTACATTAATGTTACTGATAATTTCATAATTTCCTTACTTTTATAAGGTGGAGTTCTCTTAGACAAGTATAATTTTGCAACGTAATTTTACATGTCATTGTTAGGTCTAAATATTGATCATGATCTTCACCCAAGGCTTTTTTTTTTGTAGAGGAATAATATAAATAACAAGTTACAAAGTAAGACATCCTGACAATTCAATAAAGTTAAAATCGTTCCACCCAATTTTTGACTAAAAAATGTGGGAACGAAATTTTTTTTTCATTAAATCAGCGCAAAAAAAAGTGGATTGATCTGCTTTTGTGGTTCTCTCATTGTAATGCCGTAGATTCGCGCTTAAAAGCTAGCTTTTCTCTGCAGTCAAGTTTCTCAGAATTGAGTGATGCGATTGAAGTGGATCTTTTATTATTCTTAACACTTCTTAATTTGTCTGCGCTGGCTTACTTGAGAGTAAGGCATGCTACCGATAATGAACATGTAGCGAATCGAATGTTGGAATAACAACAAACTTACTAATCATCAAGAGATAAAGATTCAATTTGAACCAATTTGTTTGGGGAGAAAAAGAAAGTTGGGTTTCAAAAGAATCTAGCGTTATGTAACTGAACTTAAAGTTATGGTGAGCTGACCTGCTTCGCAGCAGTCACCGATGTAGTTGAGCGGACAGTGGCAGCCCCATCGAGCGGGGGTCCCGCCATTTTGACACCAACGGTTGCATGGTCGCCACTCCTTTACTGATAAATGTGGACATGATCGAACACCACATGATGACGGCTGATGCACGACCCTACTTCTTGACTGATAGCCGTTTAACCCGCACGGAGCTGAACACTGATTCCATGAGGTCCACTGGCTTGTCACGCACTTGTCGCATCGCGGTGCATCACACATCCAACATGATCGCTTTTGAAATGGTCGAGAATTCGCCTCGACACGAAAATGGCAAAGATATAACATGAAAACCAGTGATATAATCAAAGAAAGTTGGGAAACCATAGTGTAGTTTTACAGGCCCAAACGATTTGTTTGAGAATGGGAAAGGTAAGTGACACTACGTGTGATTTCAACTCGTGATTTGTTTAATCTGTTTTTATTACTTCCTCAAATCGAGTTGTAATGTTTTTTATTGTCTTTGTCGTGATTAAACACTTATCATTTTATATCAGAAATGTCATTTACGCTGAATTTCATATCCAAAACATTTGATCAATCCACAAAAGATTAACTGAAATGTAATTAATATACCTCTCTTGAAAGGAAACAGTCGATACTTAGAATTATGCATGTTTAAATCAAAACATTAAGACTTTTTTTTAAGTGTAGGAGCAAAAGATGAGAGAATTCGACATTTGTAATGCAAAATATCTTTATCGGCTTCCAAAGACATCTTAGTTCGTTCCCAGTCTCTGTCCCTTCTCGAGGGAACTGAGATATGGAGGAAGTCAGAGTATAAGGTTTAAACACGCCTCAACATACCGTATGTGTTATTCTTTTGACTTAGGGGCGAGTTTAAGATGAGTTGATAATATGTAGCTTCTCGTCTGCGTTTTCATGCATGAAACGAACTAGTACTTTGGTTCACCAAAATGCAAGAACAAAAAGTTGAAAGCTCGGAAACGAATAGAAATAAGGCAGATATCTTACCCTCTTGACGAAACAGTTGGGAAAAGGAGTTTTCTGTACGAGACTACGTACCTGCAGAGAAACATTTTTGACAGAAATACAGCGGGTTATCGTGAGCAGTTACGTTGGGTGCGTCATTCATGCGTCTATACCACAAAAAACAGGATTCGCTTTATCTTACATGTTTAAGCCTGTATGTTAAATAAGTAATCACATAAAACGTTTCTCAAGTCAAAGAAGAACTACAAGCACTGCCACAGAAATTGTAAGCACCGTTTATTTAGCTATGAATTTGAACCATGGCATGCCTGTTGATTGTTAGATGTACAAACACAAAGACGTCCAGTACATGATCTGGTAGATCGAAAAGGCAAACAGAAGCTCCAAAAGCTTATTTAGTTTTAGGGTTAACAGTTTGTCAAGAAAGAAAAAGAGAACAGACTATGTCGATAACATGACCTTCTTAATGTCAAATTTCTTTGAAAAAGTTTCACTCGTCGCAAAAGGGCTAGATTTATTCGCAAACTACTAAGTATGTGTCTCCAATGCTTCTTGGTGACTTTAACCTGTAAAAGAAAATAACAGAGATGATATTAGAAAAGGCCAGAAATCGGAAATCCTCATTCTAGGAGACAAGTTTCTCTCTGTGCTAGCAACTAATCAAGAAATTGTTTTGTAGCTCTAAAGTAGGTTTACATCTTATGTTACGACCGCGAGCAGTCCCAGCTAAACCAAGTCATTGCACGCTACCTTCCGTTACGTCATCAGCAGGAGGTCCGTTGGGGCACGCTTGGCAGTTACAACTCTGTGAGTTATCAGTCTGCCCTTGACATTTGTCATTCCCCTGCCCATGACCGCACTTGCAGTAACGGACTCTGTATTTCTTGCCGCAGTCACAAGCTTTACTGCAGTCGCTCCAGTCGCTCCATTCGCTCCAACAGTCGTCACCTGAGACCGAGAACCAATTGTAACCGGTCACCTCCAGTGCTGGACAGTGTGTCAGTGACTGAGTTCTAGCGAGGTCACATATATTTGTGTTTGTATGTATGATTAATTGACCACTCCCCTGATGGGGTTTTACAGGGCAAATGCAAAGAAATAGGAAAAAAAATGTTTTTAAAAACCCACATGGTAGGAGGTACACTAGTTAACAAATGGTAAACACCACAGCGTACAGTATGAGTTATGGATGCACGCGGGAGGTTGCTAAGCACGAAAGAAGCGTAAGAGTCGCTCTCGGCTATCGCCTCGAGCGACTCTAGCTTCTTGAGTGCTTAGCAAACCCCGTAGTTTCTCTTTATCCAAAGGGTTGTGAAAAAGAGAAGAAATCCTTTGAACAAGGAGACGACAGAATATCGAGTAGTTGTGCAAAGGATTTCCTTCTGGACGAGAGGGAATCCGATTTTCGAACAGAATAAGTGCACCAAGCAAAAACAACTTTTTACCTCTTTCTTCCCTTGTTTTTAAGATTGTTTTATGCATTTGAAGGCAACAAGTGACCCTTATTACGATCAGAATCAGGCCTGGATTTTTTTTCTCAAATACTGTTTAAATACAAGCAACGCGATCGTTAGTTTGATACCTACTGTTTGGACACGATCCTTCGTTACAAGGCCTGTTTGCGAAGGGAAGTCCAACACATGGCTGGCCGCCGGAGCTTGGGGCTGGGTTATCACACTTCCTGCTTCTAATACTAGTGCCAGGCCCGCAAGTCACGCTGCATGCGCTCCAAGCGCTCCAGTCTCCCCAACCACCGTCAACTACATTTGGAAGAAGAGGATTTGTTATCACTCTCAATTTAAAACTCACATCACTCAAGCAAACACTAAAATTTGGAAAATCCAATCCAGTCCGAGTAATTATTTTCTCTTGGTCCTAGTCACGGCAAGAAGAGATACGATTAATAGAAAATCGCTTCACCATTGATCATGATACTCTGGAAACGACATGCAGTCCGTTCCCTAGTCTAAACAATTTTTTTTTTCAAAAGGTATTCCTAAAAAGTAAAATAATTGATCGTAAGGGGCTAATCATTCCAGACTGAATATAATGGTTGACTTTTTTTTTTTCTTTTGTATTATCTTTTTTTTTCATATTTTATTTACCTTTATTTCTCCCCAACAATCAAGTTATAATATATTCTACGAATTTGCGTTGTAGCGCAATATCACTACAAAAATACCCCCTTCAGTAGAAATTCCTTCTTTATTATCAAACTGGAAAGAGGTTGGCTTTGCCCGTCGAAATATGGGCGACACAAATTCAAAACCATTCTGCACTACCACCTTGGTTTTTTCTTTTTCTTTTTCCAGTCTTCAGAACGCCTTCGTAAGGTATGATTTTGTAAATTTACAATCATGTCTTCATTGTAGTCTCACTGTTATGACACCCGTTTTCATTGTAGTCTCACTGTTATGACACCCGTACACGTCTCTTGAAGAATTGAGAGCTTAGTTAAAGTGCTGTGTTTACACATACCAGGACACGGTCCTTCGTTACAAGGCCTGTTTGAGGAAGAGGGTCCCTGACAAGGTTGACCACCAGGGCCTGGGGGCGGATTGTCGCATTTCCTACTCCTGATGCTAGTACCAGGCCCACACGATACGCTACATGCGCTCCAATCGCTCCAGTCTCCCCATCCACCATTTACAACTTCGACAATACAAGGAAAAAAACTGATATTAGAGACACTTCAGATGACTAAAATTGCTTTCGGGAGATACACTTTGACCTCAAATATAAGATTACAAAGCCCATATTTTAGAGTTATAAACTAAGCTATGCAGGCAAAATTTTGGTATTTTCAACAAAATTTAGAAAGAAAAATTTTAACTCCAGACTGCCAATCGTGGTCAACGTGTCCCAAAAACGTCTCTCAAGTCTGCTTTAGCTGTTTGAAAGACTTGATCGTGAAGATTTAAGATACAAAGGAAAAAGAGTTTTTGCCCAGCACCTGAGGGTTTTATCATTCCAGATTAGATATACTGGTTAATTTCTTTTCTCTTTTGCTATTCGGTGTTTTTTAACCCTTGATTTTTCACCACCTGTTAAGTTGTATATTCTACGAATTTGCGGTATGGTGCAATATCACTACAAAAACACCCCTTCGAGTAGAAGTTCCTTTTTTATCATACTGAGATAAGGGCTAGTTTTGCCCGTCGAAATATGAGCTACACAAATTCAAACCATTCTACATTACCACATCAGTTTAGGTTTTTTTTTTTCTTTTTCCCAGTCTTCAGAAGGTCTTCGTACGGTATGATCTTGTAAATTTAAAAGCGCGTCTTCATTGTAGTCTTTATGTTATTACACCCGTTTTCAAATTGGACACCCTATAAACGTCTTTTCAAGAATTGTGAGCTTAGTTAAAATACTGTGTTCACACATACCAGGACACGGTCCCTCGTTACAAGCCTTGTTTGAGAAAGGAGGTCCCTGACAAGGTTGACCAACGGGACCTGGGGGCGGATTGTCGCATTTCCTACTCCTGATGCTAGTGCCAGACCCACACGATACACTGCATGCGCTCCAATCGCTCCAGTCTCCCCAACCACCATTTACAACTTTGACAACACAAAAAACAAAAAAACTGATGTTAAAATTACGTGAGATGATTAAAAACGCTTTCGGAAGATACACTTTGATCTCAAACATTAGATTACAAAGCACATATTTTAGAGTTTTCAACTAAGCTGTAGGGCAACATTTTGGCATTTTCGACAAAATTTAAAAAACGGATTTTAACTCTAGACTACCATTCGTGGTCACTGTGTCTCAAAAGCGTTTGTCAAGTCTTCTGCAGTTGTTTTAAATACTCTATCAAGAGCTGATCGGACCGTGAAAATCAACTGAAACAAACTTGTAGAAAACATTTCGCCTCGGAGTTCTAACAAGTAATCAAGCACTTCGTACGGTAGAACGACCTAACCACTGTTGGATTTCTTATGCTACCTTTTAAGAAAAAAAAACCGCATTAATTACTTCTCAAGATAAGTTAATTTTAATGGGCGAAAATAGGTTGGTAGCACTTAATTTCTTTTTTGAACGGAAAACTGAGCTGAGCTTTCAAAAAATCAACCACTGAGCCGAAAGTATATGTCAGACTTTTTCTTATATCAGTGGAGACAGAATTAGCTGCTTACCAGCAGGACATAATTGTGTGTTACACAAGCGAGTCTCTTCATTTGAGCCTGCGCAGTCGCCATATCCCGGACTGTAACCTTGACATTTCCGTTTACGATTCTGCGTTCCACCGCCGCAGGTTTTGGTGCATGCTGACCATGCACCCCAAGAACCCCAACTAACATAACCTAAAATAAACCTACGAGTGAAACACTCATTTTCCGATTAGATTGGCAAGCATTGAGAGCTTTCGTGCTAGATTCGCTAATTCTCGTACCCGGACCATCCACGGTCAAAAAGTTACAGTTACACGATAGGACCTGGGTAAGAGATTAAGATAGGCTAATTTCTTAGTAAAAAATCGTATCGGGATAAAAGATGCCGGAAAAGTGGAGATTTGTTAAACATAAAGGCTTTGCTGATATTCGTTTTTTCTATAATGATATATAGCAGACAGCTAATAGCGTCTTTGTGCTCTCGATATTTTGAACGCTGAAACTAGAAGGGAAGGCGGGTGGAGGGAAAATGGCCAAGCGAAAACAATGGCCGCTCACCCACAGTTTTTGCCTAAGAAGTTTGTACCGCAATTGAAACTATACGAGTTATTTTGGATAATTTTATATTTTTGCATTATCCGTGAACATTAAAACTACTGCTTACTCGGACAATTCCTTAGCAAACACGACTTGGTCTGTATACTCGGCCCAGTGCACGCTCGTCCTCCATGCTGCGGCGGGGGATTGGAACAAGATCGCCTCCTAGCCTTGGTTCCAGAACCACATGTTTTAGAACAATCTTCCCATGTCGACCACAATGTCCAGCGACCGTTTACTAAGGAAAAGAGAGGAAAGGAACGGAAAGATTTATGATGAGATCCGACTTGTAAGACGCAAGCTAACTGTTCCCGGAACAAGGAGTCCAGCTCGCAGTTGTCCGCTTAATTCATTTCGTGTTGTGTTCGCTATATGTTTTTTTGCATGATGTGCAATCCGATTTAACTCAAACCATTCCCCTTTCCAGAGATTACAATTGACTCGTCGAACGGATTACGCCGGGGGAGAGACGAAGTGTGATGCAGAATCGGATACGACAACTCCTACAGTGTGTATTTCTGCTATCGATAACAATCTACAAAATGTAGCACCCATTTTTCCAGCCTGACTGCAAGACTTTGAACTAGCTTTATTGTTTGCTGAGTATCGAATTGACTCAATTGTTTTTGCATCTTAATAAACCGTCAGAACGCATTCTAACAAAACAAAATAAAGACATGATATCTAACTATCTTGATCTTGCCTGGAAAATGTTGAGCAATTTATTACATTGTCACAATTTCGTTTTTGCGTGAACAGTTTCGCTATCGGCAATCTCGGCCAATGGAAATCAAGATTCGCCAATGGAAATCAAGATCCGCCAATGGAAATCAAGATTCGCCAATGGAAATCAAGATTCGCCTCATCTTACCGAGAACTGCTTAAATGTCTCTTACAGGATAACAAAAATTGTTGTGTTTACTTGGGCAAGGATTGTTTATGCATTTCTTCGTCTGTTTGCTCGGTCCAGAACAGTACTTACCGCCGTATGCTGGTCTGGGTTTGTTGCAATAACGACTTCGGAATTGTGTACCAGTGCCACACGTCACAGAGCATGCGCGCCAGTGGCCCCACGCACTCCAACCGCCATTCACTAAAAATAAAAATTTCAACTTTCATATTAATATCACTCTTTTGACTAAAAAGAATGTACAAACTACCTATTCACAAGAAGCGAACCGAACAGAACGAGCCGTTGTTTGACTCTTCGAAAAGGTAGGGTACTTGAGTCTTGCAACCAAAGAGTTTGTGGGAAAATTGTGGTACTCGATTGACCTATGGACGATCAGAATACGCGATCAACAGTTCACTTTTTTTCCTTTACAATATTGTTGCACTCTGAAGATGGACAAAAGAACGTTGTTGTCTATGTGCAACGAGATCAAATTGTACTTTTCAAATGCGTTGATCTAGTAGAACGGTATGAAAGTAACGCTTATCCAGTCGACCTTACCGTCGGAAGAATACTAGCTGTACACAGCCGAAACGTAGCGGTTTTCTTGAAGTAACTTAATCGTGACAAAAGTGCTGTTTCTCACGACGACGAATTTTCTTATAGAAATTTTAAAAAGAATTATGTTTAGAATTTAGTATCGGTAATTGCCGCCCTTAAACAATCTTTTCCTTGCTATTCTTAATCATTTCTCTTATACATATATCACAAAAATTCTGACCTGGACATCTTTTTACCAGACATGTTTTAGTCTGAACACTCGGCCCAATGCACACTCCTCCGTATTTCGGCGGTGGATTGGTACAGGTTCGACGGCGCGTTTGACTTCCTCCAGTCCCACAACTCTTTGTGCACACGGACCATTCTCCCCATGATGACCAACGACCGTTCACTAAGAAGAAAACATAATTCAAGGCGAAAAGTGGGTTTTCAGCTCGTTTTCTTTCCAAGCTAACGAAATATGTCACACCCGGTAGTCTACGTTTCAAAGCGGTGATTGCACAGCCAAAAGGCATATAGTGTCCTTTGCGAACCTTATCTCGGAAGTCGACAGGAGGTCTGTTACATGATTTCAGGTTATGCTAATTCAAAGCTCTTAGCTACAAAGCATCAAAATCACAAATTGGAAGGTCACAGGTTTTGACTCTAATGGGGAGCAACTGGTGTACCTGTGACACTGACTAAGAAACATCAATTGTCTTTACTTTGAATACATTTTTAGCTGTAACTCTCCTGGAGCAAAGGATGCTGGACTCTACTAATTTCCCATGATACAATAAGGGGGTGGGGAGATCTCCGTTTAGGAGGATTTTCGTTCAGAGACTTTGATGGAAAACTAAGTTAGAGCAATTTCAATTTAGATTCATCGGCAATCTGGAACTGCATATTTTTCTTTAGTTCGCTCGTTAATAGGTATGGAAAAATCGTTCTAATTTCTTGCAAAATAAAGAATAGTGGCAAATTGATCACTCTTGTTTTCCCGTGTTTCAGGCAGTTATCTTTTTATCTACTTTGAGGTCTATCCTAATGTTGGTTTAACTACGCCCAACCAAAATGCTACCTCTACTAACCTGGGCAAGGCTTGACGTTGCATGCCTGGGTTCTTACGTTTGTACCATAGCATTTCCTGCCACCATATTTTGGCGCTGGACTGTCGCAACGTCGCTTGCTATACCGTTTTCCAGCTCCACAAGTTTTTGAGCATGCGCCCCAGTTTCCCCAATTTGACCATCCTCCATGAACTGAAATGTTGTTGCGTAGGGAAAAACAAGCCAATTAAACGGGAGAAAAAAAAGAAATTGTTATTTGTGGTTTGCTAGTCTGTCCTGATTTGTAACGTGGTCGGTGAAAATGGCATTTCCGAAATTTTCAGGTGTTTTGGGGTTTTCTGAGTTTAACAACAATATGTCCTTGAAATAACAACCTTTCTTTAGCATTCATATGAAGTGTACTGATCTTCACGAATGCGGATTAATGGTGTAGCCACAGATCATAATAGATTGTTGTCTAAAACATTCCCCAAGTACTTAGTCCCCAGTGTATTTCTTAAGAATTTCAGTATCCCTATGCTAAACAACATGAAAATCATATCTCTTACCAGGACAGTGATGAATGTTACAACTCTTGGTCTGTTTGTTCACGCCAGCGCAATGTTTGCCATTGTATGCCGGAGGAGGCTTGGTACAGGTTCTTGTTCGAAACTGTGACCCAGTGCCACACGATTTAGAGCAAGCCCACCATTTACCCCAGGGACTCCAACCTCCATTTACTGCAAATAATGAACACAGTTACAGAAAAATGACAGGAGAATTTATTCGCAGTTCTCATAAATTTTATTTAGTTGATTACAAACAAACAAACAAACAAACACTTTATTTACCGAGGGTAGGAAACATTATTACCGGTTACCCGGCAGTTTACATATTGGCCCCCAACAAATCCTACTGAATATAAAAATACCTAATAAAAACTCATAATAATAAAATTGTACTTAAAATGTCCTACTGATCTTAAAATGTTCTATCGAGGTAATTTTTTTAAATAAAATTTTTCAGTAACTTTATCTTAAAATTTGAATGGGAAGTTATGTTTCTAAAAGAGTTTCCTAGTTTATTCCATAGCCTACATGCACTTGAGTGGACTTGACTTCATTAGCTGGAAATTGTAGTTCTAGAACTGGTACAAAAGATAAAGAATCACTGAAAACTAAGAATTTAAAGAGCCAAAAAAACTATTTGAGTGAACCCGTTGCTTACCGGGACAGCGCTGAATGTTGCAGTGTCTGGATTGCTTGGTTAACCCTGCGCATAGTTTACCGCCATAAGCCGGAGGAGGCTGGGTACAAGTCCTTGTGCGGTGCTGCCATCCACTCCCACACGATTTAGAGCATGAGTACCATTTACTCCAGAGTCTCCAGCCTCCATTTACTGAAAAACAAAACGAAAAGAAAAAAAGGGAATTAAAGAGACATTCACTCCTGTGTCTTATTAACGATATCTTTACAGAGTAACTGTGGTCACTTTACAGTCCATTCAAAACCGAGTAATAGTTTTGCTTTGGACTTTGGGATAGGTCGACATTTTGCGATAGTCGATTAGTTCCTTTCTGCCTTTTCTAACCAACGAGGAGTCGCAAATCTTTAAATCGATCCCCCTGATAATTCCATGATGACCAATCTTTCCATTAGCCTCCCTTCGTAACAAATTTGTTTAAAAAATGAAAAATTGAAACATGGTTCTTTTTTTAAAATATCTTTTTACCTGGACAAGTTTTAACTTTGCACGATCGTGATCTGACATTTGATCCATAGCAGTTCCGTCCGCCATATTTTGGTGCAGGGTTGTTACATTGTCGCTTGCTATACTGCTTTCCGATTCCACACGTTTTTGAGCATGCGCTCCAGCTACCCCAAGTTGACCATCTTCCGTTGACTGAAAATAAAAATTTCAATGGCTCAGAGTTATAAGTGATCATTTTCCATGAGGGAGGTCTCCGATAGCATTCGTCTCGTTTACTTCTACAAAACAGCTATCAAGAGACTCCTGAAAAGAAAATGGGAATATCCTAACCTACCAGGACAGTGATGAGCATTACAATTCCGGGTTTGTTTTTTAAGCCCAGTGCACTGTTTTCCACCGTATGCTGGGCGAGGCCTGGTGCAGGTCCTTGTACGATACTGGGTGCCAGTGCCACACCTTCTAGAACAAGCCCACCATTTACTCCAAAGACTCCAGCCTCCATTAACTTAAATGAAAAATAAGTAGATCAGTTACGAAATAGCAGCAAAAGGTATCTTTGGCTCCACGTTTTCTTATTTAGACAAGTGATTGAGTCATGCATTTTCTCAATCATGCCTCTCCAAAAACGTGTTTGACGTTCGAACGTTTGCGATAGTTTGGAATTAATAGAGAAGAACTATATATTCCTTAAGCAAATAATAACAATTGAATTAAATTAGAATTGAATACAAATTTAATCATCTCAATTAACATTAAGAAGACAACCAAACTTTGCAGAATTTTTTTTATCCATAAAGGCTATCCATGACTAGCAGTGAGTTAACCTAATGGCACATCGAGGTAAAGGATGCGAGGCGGCATATCTGCCCCTTCATGTCCATTCTCTAGCACCAATCTTAACTAATTACTCCTTCCCACTCCTCCCACGAGGTGTAGATCCGCCATGACCATAGGGCCAATGGTTTTAAAAAGGATTTTATGTTGGAGATCAGAGGAAACACTGCCACACGCCAAAGACTTGATTCCATTTATAAAGTTCTCTTTCCGATTTTGGGCTGCTTTATCTTGTTGCTCAAAACAATAAATAATTCGGAGCAGAATCTACATTGGCTTAAATTGTCTCGGAGTCTATTCTAAAGATTAGATACGATGGAAGATAACTAGTGATCTTTTAAAAGATCTATCACTTACCAGGACAACGGCGACTGTTACAGTTCCGGGTTTGTTTGCTAGGCCCAGTACAACGTTTTCCACTGTATGATGGAGGAGGCCTGGTACAGGACCTTGTGCGGTACTGTGACCCAGTCCCACATGATTTAGAACATGTGCACCATTTACTCCAAAGACTCCAACCTCCCTTAACTAGAAGAGATATTCTTATATGAATATCTATCCAGGAGGCGATAGGTGAAAGGGGAATCTCACAGCAGGCATTTGCCACGAACTCGAAAAATATATGCGCTTGTTATATTTTAAACATTCCAACAAGATGTACTGCCTGGACGCTTCCTTTAGTTTCAGATAACGTGTAACCAAATAGAAAGCAGAGGTTGATTTGTTAAGCTCTGTTACAATCCATTACTTACCAGGACAATGATGAGTATTACATCTTCTGGTCTGTCTAGCCAGCCCAATACACTTTTTACCACCATATGCCGGGCGAGGCCTGGTACAGCTCCTTGTGCGGTACTGTGACCCGGTGCCACACGTTTTAGAACATGCACGCCACTTACTCCATGGAGTCCAGCCTCCGTTTACTGAAAACGGTCATAACAATTTAAAGAAACAATTTAAGATGCAGATGTTGCATCGGCTCCTGATTACATTGCTCAGTTGACTGACGGGAAAGGATTCCCCGCAAGCGAGCCCGTGTTTTGCTAATCCTTAGTAGAAAGTTGATATTTTGTCCCAGACAGCCAACCACGATTTAGCGCGAGCTTCTGTAGACGTGGGCAAGAGGTCACCCGCATTCCCCCTTAAACGTACTAACAAGACAGCTTCCAAGCTGTTAGAAAGCCTACGGCACAAGCAACCATTTCCTATTGAAGCTGGAGAAACTGTCTTTAGATGGATTATTGGTTTGGGTCGTTGTAAACTGATGTTTAGTGGGAGAAAACTTTTGAATCGTAGTATACCGAAGCAGACGAACTCGAAAGAGGTGCCAATCATTCAAAAGTAAACAAGGGTGGTTAACCCTTTAGCTCTTGAGATCTGAGTGTTAACTCTCCCTTCTAACTGCTACTCATTTCCTTGAAATAAGTTACGAGAATTTGGTGTTCGATCAAAATAACAACTTCTACCTGATAAGGTTGAGTATTGGCATTACCTATTTGCTGGACATTGTATCAAAATTATAGGGGAAGTTACATATCAATCTTTTCTAAGAATTTAAAGGTTAAATTTGAAAAACATGAACTCGGATTGCAAATGACGAGCTTGAAGGATTTCGGTGAAATGTTTCAGCATTCAGAATTCATGATGTGGCTCTTTTTAGCTCTTGTTTATTCATCGCCTACTAAAAAAATGCCATTGCTACTGTTTCCATAGGGAGACAACTGTATTCAAGAATTGATATCAATGAACCGGTCGAATGCGGAAGTTGTCTGAGGGAACAGAGCCTTGTTTACCAAACATAAAACCATGTTATGATGCGCCGCAAATATCTCACCTGGACACCGCTTGAGAAGGCAATTCTTATGCTGTTGGGACGAGCCCATACATTTCTTTCCTCCATATCCAGGAGGCGGATTCGTACAGGACCGTTTTCGGGTCTGTAATCCCGTCCCGCAAGATCCCGTACATTTTCCCCACCTTGACCAAGAGGACCAGCCTCCATCTAATGAAGAATGGGAAGTTGAAAGAGCAAGAGAGAATTGACGATGATCATTTTTACCTAATTAAATTGATTTAACATTTGCTTGCCATTCCTTCTGGCCAGCAAAGTAAGGACCACAACTTTGTACGTTGGGATTATACATTTCTGTTCTCATTTGGTATTCATTATTGTTAATTTTAATTACTATAATTTGACTTGAATTTTCTTACCTCGGCACCTACTAGGTACGCAATTCCTGTGCTGTCGAGATGCGCCCATGCATTTCTTTCCTCCATACCCAGGAGGTGGCTTCGTACAGTACCGTCTCCGTGTCTGTAATCCAGTCCCACAAGATCCTGTACATTGTCCCCAGCTAGACCAGGCAGACCAGCCACCATCTACAAAGGGACCATATGGCTCAAATCATTAGCCTTTACATTTAGTATTGCTGGTCAAAGTATCGGCCTTTTTTTAAGGGGGGTTTCTTTGACGTCACTCATACGCGCAATCCGGATGGTTTAATGAGGGCCTGGGCCAAAGGTTTGAATACACCAGTAAATACTCACCTAACTTGCATTTTCTTATCATACATGATTTATATTCTCTGGAAGGCCCCACGCAGCCGGTCCCACCGGGTTTAATGCAGGATCGCTTGCGGTATTGTGACCCTCTGCCACAGGTCTTGGTACACTCGCACCAGGCTCCCCAACTGCTCCATCCTCCAGCAACTAAGATAACAAGACAAATAAGTCAATATAACGTCTCTCTTGCTCCTGGCAGCCTCAATGGTTTGCAGTCTTTAGTCAGCTTTATATGATGCTGCTATTCGAGCTTAGGCCACTCTTGTTTCCAAGATTTTATGCTGATTGAAAAGGGACCAAAAGAAATGGGAAGACCAGGACACTTTAGTTACAAATATTCAGACTGTTTTGTATAACTAAAGATGCTACGCTCGTATCTGATCATGCAACGTCCGGCAAAAGCTTGATATCCTTAAAAATAGCGATTGCATTGCAATAATTTCCAAATCTTCTTGTACGATTTTCTATTCTGTCATTTTTTTTTTAAGTGTGGCGAATTGATGTTAGGGCGTCTTTATATGCAAAGAAAAAGGCAAATGCACCGGTAAGAGAAATTTGCGCCCGCTCTTACAACGGCTAAAGATTGAATGCCAAGTATGTTAGTGCTGTAATAATCATGAATTACGGAGCTTTTAGATAATACGACAAATGCTTTGATTAAGCCATATCAAGGGAAATGTATTTACCATGGGTGATTTAACCCTTTCCTTGGGGTGTTACAGAGTACATAAAATAATAATAATAATAATAATAATAATAATAATAATAAAAAGAAGTGTGCGGTGGCCCATGTGAAAAGGGGGGTACAAGTGACTGCTTTCTTAGGGGGGAGAGTTGTGGAGTCGACTAGAATACCATGTGTTGATGATGGTGAGCGGTACAAGTTCCTTGGGGTACTTGAGAGTGTTAGGCAGGAGGATAAGTTGGTCCTGGAGTGTGCAGCAAGAGAGTATCTCAGACGATTGTCACTTATTTGGACAAGTCCCTTGTCCAATTATAATCGGATGGTAGCGTCAAATCAGTTTGCATTGCCTGTTCTTGGATATCTCATGTGGACACAACAGTGGCCGGTGATGGAACTTAAGCAGATCGATAGGGAAGCGCGCAAGATTGTTGTCGAGAGTGGGGTAGACACCCATGTAGTTCAAATGCATTGTTGTATATGTCAAGAAGTAGAGGAGGGCCGGGATTGCGCTTTGTTGAAATGGAGTACAAACCCACAAAAATCAAGGGTGCAGTCAGACTCCATGGTAATGAAGATCGTGCACTGGGAATGGTACGGGAGTTTGAAGAGCAAGCGGCGAGGATGGGGCGTAGGTCAGTTTTTAAAGAAGCGGCTAAGTGCGCGGAGGAGTTGGGGCTGGAGTTGGATTTGAAACACGCGCAAGGGATCAAGAAAGGTGCGGAGGTGCCAAATTGAGAAGTTAGAGGATGAGATCAGAAAACCAACAGTGGCAAGGGCGTCTGGTGACTACTAGGCTGGAGGATGAGAGTTTGAGTGCTGATGGGTGTTTCTGGTGGCTCACAGAGTGGAAGAACTGCCCATCACACACACTTGTTGGACTCGTCGAGCTATACGAGCAGCTATTGCCAACGCGAGTATACACGAGTCAGAAGACTCACACAAGCGGAGAAGGCGAGGTGAGGTGCAGATTATGCGGCAAGGCTCCAGAGAGTGTGGCACATATCTTGTCAGGATGCAGTGCGCTGGCCTAGAGCAAGTATCTCTCTAGACACGACGCAGCACTGAAGGTACTGTTTTACCAACTGCTGTATGATGAGGGATTTATAGACGAGATACCACCCTGGTACTCACCCGACAAGCCGAAGCCCGTGTATGAGTCAGAGAATGTTAAAGCTTATTGGGATGTCCCTATATATGCTGATCAACAAGAGGTCAGATGCAATAGGGTGGATGCACGCATTGTAAATCATATGTGCAAGAGAGTTGTGACGCTGGAAATGAGCTGCCCGTGGGTTAACAATCGGACAAGAAAGGATGAAGAGAAGACACTGAAGTACGGACCCCTTCGCTGGGAACTAAGGCAGCAGTTCCCAGGCTACGAGGTGAAGCAATATAACATCATTGTGGATGCCCTCGGGGGGTGGTCACGGGAGCTGGATGTCATGATGCGCGAGCTGGTGGGAGGCAGAAGCACATACGTACTGCGAAAGATGCAGAGGGCAGTGCTCTAGGGCACGCTGAATATTGCCCGGACTTTCAAGGTGGCAGTTTGACTTTCTGTTAGAAGGAGGACCGTAGACACAACGGAAAAGCTTTTAAGGATTAGTTAATGTACATTTATTTTTTTACTCCATGGCTCACAGGTTACGGTTTTCGCCCTGTGCTGCCTGATTAGAGTGTAGCATTCAGTTGATTTCTCTGCGACATAATAATAACAACAATAACTTTTATTTATATAGCGCTCATATCCTGTGCTCATGGCGCTTTACAACACTGTGCGGGGGACTTTACGAAACTGCTAAGCAGTTTACAATCAATTAAAGGCGAATCTAACAGATGCCCCCTCCCCCCGATTCCCAGTAAACAGGCCACTGACCATATCACAGTAATCTCGTGAGTGGGTTCTTTAACGTCCCCTGCCTAACCAAATTAACCAATTAATAGATGCAGGAGATGGGACCTACGGTTTAGTCGTCCTTATCCGAGAAGACTTAGCGGTAGGCTATATATGTTTGAGTTGTTGTTATTTACATTCAATCGCATCTTACGACCCTCGCCCTCTAAATTAAATACCTAGTGACAGGGGGTCATCAGTAGCTTTTGCATTCTGCCGCTTTATGAAAGGTCTAGCACCTTTTCGAAATCATTGTTATACCTTTTCGAAATCATTGTTATACAAAACAATATAAACATCGTTTATATTGTTTTGTAAGGTGGTTTTTGTAGCTGTATTTTTTATATTTCCGAGATTTCATTCTGTTGTTATATCGTTCCTATCTATTTTGTTGAGAGAATAGCACACGGCTGGTGTTGACACACCCCTGTTGTGGGTGCTTATTGCATGATAAATGTTTAATATTCATTTAAGCGGGGTAGCGAATTAGAATATAAAAGAGCTTCCATCTTGATCAAGGTCAGTAAGGCCGCGGCGATGCAATTGAACAAAACGTTTTATTGAGTGTTCGAAATATTTGCCGGTCGAAAGTGAAAAGAATTAATTCTTTCTTTTGCTTTCGGCCGGCAATTGAATTGATTAAACTCTTCAGTGTAGATCTGTGTACTTTCACCAGTTTGAGTGTCATGGGTCAAGCCGCAGTAATCACTTTCAGACGCATCTATTCTCAGGACACCCACCGCCTATCAAAGTCTTCAAAAGCTATATAATCTTCAACAAATAAAAAGGTATGCTCTGGTGAATAGGTTTGTGTGAATCCCTTCAATTTGATTTAATTGAATAAAAAAATGAAGTTTTTTATTTAAGTCACGCTGGGATTCAAATGATAATTAATTTTTATCTTAAATGGAGTTTAGGTTTAACTTCAGTTACCCTTGGCACCTAAAATTCATGCGTATGCCTTAATCACAGAACTTACCTTTCTCGCAGCAGACCCCACTGTACCCAGCCTTACACTGACAACTCAGACGCACCAGTGAACCACCGTTCAGGCAGAAGCGATTGCACACCCTAGCTCCCACCGTGGTCACTAAACATTTCCCTCCGCACTTTGCAGGCTTGGCAATAGGCCGCCTTGTATATTGAGTTCCACTCGGACCGCATGAATGCGAACAGGCACTCCACGCAGACCAAGTTCCCGGGACGCAGTCCTGTTTTTGACATGATCTACGACGTCTCCAACCCCATCTAGGCTCCGCAGACACTTCGTTCATGACACAAATTACTAAAAGCACTGCTAGAATTGTGAGGCTTTCACACTCCATTTGCCTATTTGCTGAGAATCTCAACTACAATGGTTGGAATTTCGAGCGCTCTCCAGTTGCCGCGCCTATTGATCACGGTTTCTCCTAGCTGCTTAAAAAAATTGCTATGTTCCATCCGCTACAAGAAACGCACGGTGCAGAATTGAAGTGCAACAGTGGAATGTTCTACTTATGCAATGCCCATTTAAAAAAATCTAAGTACATATTTACTCAGTGTCGGTCCACTGAAAGCCTTTTTAATTATTCAGACCCTTCTGGAGCATTTAAGAGAGCCAGTCGTCGTGTTTCACGAAGCAATCGCAGATGACCTTTAGAAAACTGTTTTGTCTGATATTAAACATTTAGGGTTAAAACTTGGCGGGTTTCCATGGAGATTAAGACAGAGCTAACCTTAAATTGACTGAATAATGGGACATTGTTTTCTTGTAAATCTGATGACAATATATTTTTAGCACCCCTCTTTGCACGATCTTTACAAGTGGTATGAGTCGAAGTCAACAGAAATGAAATTACGTAATGACTGCCCACAAAACTATCTCTACAATCCACGCAACCAATAGAGGTCATATCTCGTGATTGCTTCAATCTCTGCTTGTGTATTAAATCTGCAAATGCATTCCATTTGAAATTTCATTTGAGGCTGAAACTAGCTGCAAACGCTAAGCTTTAAAATTCAGGTGTATTTTTTAAAATCATACACCGCGATAAAGCTCCTAGTTGTAATTCGTAAATAAATTACCGGAGAATGAGCGGAAGCAAGATGGCTTATGGCATCAGTTGACGTGTTTCAGTATGCCTTGTGATATTTCATTGTTAATTCTCCACTCTAAGAACTATGGGAGACAGGATGGTCTTACAGTTAGACTGGACTTAAAGTCCAGAGGTATCGACAGGACGGACAACCCACTCTTACAGTCTCTCTCTCCATTCTGGGGTAAGCTGCGATGGATTCGCATCCCATCCAGGGGCGATTGGCAATACTCTAAGTCACCTCATGCTTGGAAACCAGCATAAGCTCCTGCTAAATAAGCCATTTAGCCTGAAAGCTGATGTGACTTCCCTTTTAACCCCTCTATGAAATCAGACCCCAGCATAATTGTTTGGATGAATCTTGGACCCTGGCTATTGAGTTTTACTTTGAAGTTGCTGAACATCATTTACATTTTACATTTACATATATCATCTTGCAACATCTATAACAGACATATTCGCAAACTACCCCCCAATTCCCGGTAAACAGACCAGACCACGTCATCATCGAGGCTTAAAATAGACCTATCTTCGTTTTTCATGATTATGTATATTAAGGAAGAAAGCTAAGGAACAGAAAATTGGAAAAGAATTATCTTCTTCTCTTGGTTTCAAGGGTTTGAGTAAGCTATGTTTTGAACCTCCCATGTTCCATCAACCCTTACGGTAAAGCGGGGGGGAGGGGGGGAGGAGGGGACAAATTTTTTTGCGACATCGATGAGCCGAGGGTTGACTGGGGAGAGAGAATAAACAACTTTTCAAAATGGCGTTTGTGCGCCATAATCTAGTGATCATACTACTTCGTACTACATTAACTCCTCGAACATTGTTATCGAGAGACCAAATAAGGGCTATAAACTTTTCTTTTGTTAGAAAGTTAGCATCTAAAGCTCAAGTGACCGCGCAGGAAGAGAAAAAATCGGAAGAGGTGATCGAAAAGTCGCAACTAGCACGTGCGAAAGTCAGCGAGTATTTGGAAAAAAGTGGGGTCCGTGTTCAAAGGGTCCGTAGACAGATTGATTTAAGGAAATTGACCGTTGAAAAAATATCAAGAGTTTTTAAAATTTTAGATGATATTGGAATTGACCGCAATCAGCGCCACAAAATTATCTCGAATAGACCTACTATTTTGATAACCAAGGATGACTTGCTGAGACATCGAGTGAAGATCATGAGAAGTATCGGAATCTATCCCGAATCTGTTGCTTATGTCGTTAAGGAATCGCCTGGGGTGCTAACGGCAAGAATTGAAGAATCTTTACCAGATAAGGTTAGGGCTGATTACGTGAGTTGCTGTTACTTTACTGCACACGTGAAATCTATTTGTTTTACATGATAAAAAGGCAAATGGTTGTTAATGGAAAAGTCATCTATGCATCTGTGCTCCGATGGATCTTTATTAAAAACCAGAAAAAATTCATATAGGATTCCGCTTACCGTATGAGATCTGACTGACTGACTGACTGACTGATTCTGTCACTGACTCTGTCTGACTCTGACTTCTTAATGACCCATTTGTAGAAGATGATGCTTCATTGAGCATCAAGTGACAGTTTGGTTGTTGTAATTAACCTGTAACTTTTTCTTCCTTCATAGGTCAAATTTTTTGAAGAATTGAATGTAAAACCAAAGTTCACCAAGGATGAAATACTGCATGTGTTGACAAAATGTCCAACTATCATTGCTGCTTACACTGTGGAGTCATTGCAAAAGAGGGTCCAGCTCTTGGAGGAAGAACTGAAATTCAATAAGCATCACATCAAAAATATCATTCTCAAACAACCATCTGTTTTGACGTTCAGTAATGATGCACTCAGAGAAAAGTGGAATTACTGCTATGAGACAATGAATGTGAGTCCAACATGCATAGCGCGTTGTCCAAGGGTATTTCAGTGCTCCCTTAAAAGAATTAAAGAAAGGCACTTGTATCTAAAGCATCTGGGACTCATAAAAGATGAAATGATAATTGACGATTATGGTCTTGGACTCATTGTGACTACTTCTGACAAAAGGTTTGCGGAAAAAGTTGCTAAAATGTCATTGGACGAATTTGATGAGTTCAGGGATGAGCTTGACCTCTCAAATGAGCAAAATGAGGAGTGATGCTGAAAGAGGTGGCAGCTGTCTTAAATGCAATAGACTGTGAAAAATGATGATTACACTTTACAAACACCTTTCAACCCTCAAGGGTCACTGGCTTCTAGTTTCTCTTTGCTTTATCTCCTGTGAACAGTGTAGAGAATATGAACAGTACTGTTAGGTTGTAAAGGGATCAGAATTATTATAAATTATTTTAGTGTAAACCACTATGAAATATTATCTTTCTTTATTGTTTCTTGTTATTTTGTTTTTTCGTTGTTGTTGTTTTCTTTATTTGTTCTGGAGGGATGGGGGGGGCTTGGTGACTAATTTTCTGGCTTACAGTAATCTCATCCAGGTGTTACACGAGGGATGCAAAAAAAATGGATTGTCCCATTTGAGAATTTTTACTCAAGGATCAAAGGTAGAAAAGCTGCTCTTTGAAAATCTGAAACCTATAGATGCTTATGTCTGTATCACTTCCATACTTCCCCCCTCCTTAGTTTTATCATTTCAGCATGTTTGAGTCTCTCCATGAAATGAAGCGATCCAAACTTTGAAGAAAATCTATTGGACATGCTTTTTTCTAAAGAGAGATTATCAAAATTGATTTACATCGAGAAGATTAAACAAACAGTAGTGGAGACCAGGAGATAAACTGCGAATCCATGAGCACAAATTGCGAGTAACACAGGCAAGTGGGTATACAAGAAAATGGGTCTGAAAAAAAAGACAATCCCTGGAGAGCTGATATGGTGAGATTAAGTCCCTTCTTCAGCTGCCCAATTTTTGTTGACCACTCTCTCTCTCTCTCCTTCTCTCTCTCCACAAATCGGTGCATATTATTCAAAGTCCATTCTTTGCAATGTTGAAAATATCTATGAAATTTCCGGTTTGATGTTAAAAAAATCCAAATTTAATTTCATGTACAACATTTAGCCAACTGAAACAGGGACTATGGGGTGACTTGTTTTGTTTCCAGAAAACTCAAGAATACAGCAGAACCTGTGGGTGTGGTTTACAATTAGAGCAATCAATCAGTAAACAAATCACAGTTCCTTTGAAGCCAGATCTTATTAATTTTGTCCCAAAGAAGACTTTATTTTCAAACTTTTGCTCACTTTTTGTCACCTTGCTTAAATTACTGAGATATGTCGGGAAAAAAATTGTCTATTAAAAAACCACGGTCCATTCGATCTATAGCCGAATCAAAAGTACACTCGAGCACTCTCTTGAAGTGTGCTTTTTCGGCGCTTACGGGGGAGTCTGGAAACCACTTTTCTTTTCATCTCTAGCAAAATGGCGTGGGGGAGTAATATGTTATTGATAGGTTTCATTGTCTTTATTTTCTTCACGACAGAACAAGTTTCTTCAAAAGCATGCGCTCCAATCGACAAGAACATAGATGTTCTGAAAGAGTAGGTGGAAAATCAATCGAGGTTATCGTATAGATCAATAGCTTGAGGGTGTTCTGAATCCGTCTTGGTATTATATACACGTTAAGGAAGAACTTGTTATAATAATAAGCATAAATATTGTCAAAGTTCACGTGTTTTTTATATCATTGCAAGGTATTATCAATACAGTATTTCTGTTGGAACACGTAGTTATCGCGGTTATTTTATTAGCCAACCCACTTCTCAATGGTTGATGCAATGCACAAACATAATACTGATCCGGTATTCTGCAGTAATTCCATCCGTAAGCAAACTTTCACTTCCCTCCGTCCAAATTTGCATTTATAATGTTCTTATCCACAATTATCTCTTTCGATCTAATTTTTGCGTGTCCACGAAGTCAATTTGTTTTTACCGTAACATAAAAACTGGGCAGGCTTCGTGCTCTACTATATAAGCTAAATTTCGCGATGCTGGTGTACTGTTTACAGGAGCGAGAATTTTTATTAACCCTTTACACCGTAACATCAGTGCGCACGTTCTCCATACTGTTCTCTTTACATTTCTAGAGGTCCTTATAAGGATAATTTGTTAAACACAATAATTAAGAGCTTCTCATTTTTCCTGTCCTTAAATGGGTGGTTCAGGGCTGATATTGTAAGGATAAATTAGTTGCTGGTCACTCTTACTGTAGCTGAAAAAGGGGTTAATTGCCAAAGAGTGCGAAGAAAATGTTAGCCAAAACACTTAGTTGAATACAGTTAGAATGTATGTTATTACATGATTGTATTTGATGATGTGCATTTTTATCTAATTTCCAGACAAAACTTTTGGACATTCGAGGTGCCTAATGAGATGGTTGGATGCAAACCTTTCAAACCACCGAGTCCCAGTGGGGCAAATGTCACTTCCACCTGTGTTTTCTATTTCTCCATTTGCCATCCAGTTCCTAGTCTCTGCACTGAAAACTCTGGAATTTGTTTGACCAACAAGGTCGCTTACTGGGGACGTAACTATGACAACAAGACCCTCTATACTCTGCCAAAAAGAATTGGTGCCTTTAACCCAAACAGAGATGTCAAATTTGATTCAGGTTAGCTTGGATTTTACTCTTTTTATTGTGCTTGTTGAGAGCAACTCAAGCTACTTGAGTGCTTAGCAAACCTCCCAAATGCATCCATAACTCAACAGTTTACAATTGTTTTATAACATCAGGGCTGTAGCTAGCATGAGGGAAGATGAGGCAATTGCCTCGTCTTGATTTTGGCCTTTTCCTTTTTCTTTTTTTGCACCAGTATGGCTCGGCAATAAAAAAGTGAGCTTCCACACTTGCCCAAGATTGACTTTTCTAAAGAAAAGTGCCACGGAAAATGCTTGAAAGAGCATTTCTGAGCCTCTAGATTTCAACATTTTCTGGGGGATGCATGCCAGACCAAAACTTGCCTCATCTTCTTCTGAAGTCTGGCTACGGCCCTGAACATTGAAAACAATTTATTGCAGAACAAGTCATTTGCTCCCTTGCTTGCTTGAAAACAATTGCTCATGTCAGCAGCATACAGCCATGGGAAAATAGTAGATACTGAAATGACTAATCAGGGCATGGGCTTTATGTGATTTATGTTATAATTTGTTTTAGTATAGTTTCAGAGCTGAACAAAGAGTTTCCAGCGATCTGATTGGTCGAGCGGTTCCTTATATGACGCTATATAAACCACTCCGCGTGGTTTATATAAAATGTTGAACTAAAATGTTAATAAATGTTACTAAAATGTTATGATTTTAGAAATTTCTCTGTTGTTCAGCTCTGAAATTATACTAAAACAATTATTCGCCTCAGGTTCGGTGAATATTGTCGAATAATCCCCTAAAATATTTCAATTGACCACGTCCTGTATTTGGGCGATTTCAAAATGAATGTAATACAGTGGTAATTGAACCTCGTGTTGTGCAATTTTGCTCTGAAATCATACTTGTGTTTTCAAATCGAACTCGTGCTGTGCACTCGTTTGATTTTGAAATCACGTGTATGATTTCAGCCCAAATTGAACTCCACTCAGTTCAATTACCATTAATAATTCCTCGCTAAGTTTTGACCAGACATATAGACCCTGGTATCTTATTGACTGTGTGTTTAACTCTACCATTAGTGTTAAAATGAGGTATTTCAAAGTCCCAGTTTCTTAGGTAGTATTGAGAGTTCTTAGTTTTGAGCAGTCGTGATAGGCGTCTGGAAACAAGATCGTTTTTAACCTTATACATCAGAGTGGCAGTATCATATAGACATATGTTGTATAAAGTCAGTAACTTTGCCCGTCAGCAGGTTCCTCATACCTTTCTGTCTTCAATTTAAATATTGCCTGTACTGTGCGTTCCTGTATCCGCTCAATCTTTCTACTATCGGATGACTTACAATAATTCCATACAAGGTGGCAGTAAGTTAGATGTGATAACATGTAACTCTTGTGTTACTTTGACATTAACCTGACGTTACACAGAATTATTTTGCACAAACTCACTAGTATTCTTACTTTTTGGCTAGCTCTAGAGGTCCAAGTGCCACACCCTGAGACAGCCACGTTCCATTGTTTTCCATTAACTAATGTGGTCATTAATCTTTACTCTGTCAAACCTCTTATTGAAGAAAGATGGTCACCAACAGAAGAAACTTAGATTGTTCAGCAAATTCTCCTCATCAATTTCAAAGGAAATGTATATAGAAGAGTATGGAGAACATGGCATCTGACTTTAGGGCGTGAGAGGTTAATGTGAGATTTGGAAGTTATATTTAGGGAGAAATTAAATGGCTAGTCACTCCTGGGGTTCCAGTAGTGAAGGCAACTTGTCTTCCAGGAAATAATTTCCTTATTTTGCTTTTAGAATGGAACTACTTCACCGTAAACTATGAACTAGGAGAGCTAGTCAATGGATCACTATTGCCTTATTTTTTCGAAGCTACAATCAAGTTCCAGTGTAACAAAAGTTCTGTATGGAAAAGATCTGATCT